CTCCCCCCGCGGCCCCGCCGGCGCTCGGCCACAACTTTTGCCTCCTGCGCGGCGGGCGCTGTCCTGCGCGGCGCGGTGCTGAACTTCCCGCCACTTCCCGGCGCGCGCGGCCGCACTTCGCAGGGCCCCGAGGGCTCTTCAGCCGGAGCCATTGCTGATTCCGAGCGGGTGGGCGGCGGGGGACGTGCGTGTGTGCGCCTCCGCCTCCAGCTGCGGCTCCCTGAAATGAGGCCGGGACGTGCGGAGGTCCCCGCGCGCGGCGGGGCTCGGCCCTGGCCCTGCTCCTCGGGAAGCAGCCGCTGCCCTTGGGCAGAGCGGGACTGTGAGGCGCAGAGGATGCGGAGCGGTGTCTGTCTGGAATGAATCCCCTGCAAAGAGCCTAGCGCTGGGCTTTGCTGAAGGCTTGCACCGCTCCGGCCAGGCGTATTTGATCCACAAAGAAGCATTTCTTGTCCGGAACAAATACTTATTATTATTATTATTATTATTATTATTAAGCATTTGCTCTGAAAGAGCAGACTGAGAATAGCATCTGGCGTACCTAAGGGCCAGATAACGATGTAAGGGTGTTTGGTTCATTCAGCACAAAGCTTGGCTCCAATATCTCTCTTCATGCTTTAAAACAAAGTTGTCTTTCCCTTTTCATGCCAGTCTATTGAAGCAAATATCACATTTATCACCCACCAAGCACTTCTATTTCTCATCCTTTTCAATATTCCCCGAGGCTTCTTGAATATGTAGAGTATGATTTCTTAAAATACATCTGGATGCAGTTGCAACATTTTTTATGTTGTGTCAGGATGCTGCCACTAGAGGTATTTAATGTCTGCAAACTCGATTTTTCCTTAATCTTTAGAACCTGCAAGAATCTTTTTCCCATAGGAGAAGTTGGGGGGAGGGGGGGGGCGCCTGCTTCAGACTCTGTTCTTTAAGGCTTTGCTTTTCATCCCTTAAGTCACCGAAATCACAGTACACTTGTGGGGAAAGCAGGTTAGGAGCACAAGGGATGTTCTAACTGTGCAGAAAGCAGTTGTAGTAAATGTCTCATTCCAAAACAGTAGAACCAACATTAAAAGGTTCAAATTATATGCGTTCATGCATTGTATCTCATGGATGCTTTTCTAAATGTTTCCATTACTTGTCCATACTGTAAGGCCACTTTACCTAGTTGTAAATGTTGACTAGAAAGCCTATGTCCTAGAAGCTGTGCTAATTCTGTAGTAGTTTAGCTTAGTATTAACCATTTTGATTATATTTTAATACTGTTTCTTGAAAAAAAAAAACGATGAGCTTGATCATTCTTAGTTCATTTGAGATGTCTAGCTATGAGTGTTTCTTTGCACTTGCTGGTTTGGAAGGAAAATGGGCAAGAAGGGAAGGCATGTTGTTTTGTGTTTAAAGAAAGAGTGCCATCAACTATTTTGAAATGTGAGCACATTTGCTACAATATAAATCCATAGGTCCAAATAGCTCAAGAGTCAGAAAATGGCAGACTCTGTTTCTGTTTGGCTCTTGAGGAAATAACTCTTGTAGGTTGTTTTTCTCCTTCTATGTTAATTTTATTTTGGAGTGCACAAAAATCATAATTCATTGCCAATTAGTAATAGTATTAAGTAGGCACTCTGCAAGTCTGAATTTCCTATTTATAGATATCTAAAACAGTTTAGTTTCCCAGTGGCACACAGTACAGAGGGGGCTGATTATAATAATGCCTAAACAGACCAAAACAAAAATTGCTTGATGGATTAAAAAGGTAGCATTTGTTTGAAATTCAGTATCTACCTCTTAAACATTTCTAAATATATGGATATAACAGTTGATTTATTGTAGAATATTATTAATTGATTTATTTTTAACTTTCTGTTTTTTTAAGTGGATGTTTGGATCCCATTCTCCAGTCATAGGATTTTCCCCTTCTTCTAGTGTGGAATTTGTTCCTATTTTCCCACATGTATACACATCGACTGTTCCACCTCATGCTGGGAAAAGTTGGATAGATAAGAGGCTACCAAACTGCAAGGTAAGCTTGCCCTTAGTTTGAGATTTACTTGAATATTAAGTTGTTACTGTAAACCCAGGAAAAATTATGGTTTCAGTAGGTTATGAAGGGATGAGCAAGGTCAGCAATCTGTTAAGCAAATATCTTGAAGAAAAAAAAATGCTATAAAGAATAATCAATAAGCAGGCTATTTTTGCAGGCATAAATCAGCACTTCTCTGAAAGACTGAAAAGGACTAAAATATCCTTAACATTTACTTGTATTAAATCAAATAAAATAGTTTATTCTTACCACAAAACCATGGCTTTGATTGGTTTTCATACTGAGCTTACTCATGCCACTTCTCTATTACCTGGAGTGAAATACTTTTGTTCAATGGGCTCAGTGGAAGTTTGCCCACAGCTTTAGTTGGGCCAATATTTCATACTAATTATTTTTAACCTTGGTCCTACAATGACACCTCTGTAAACTTGGGCCTGCAAGTAAGTATAAATTAGATCTTTTCCCTTGTTTCCAACACCCTTTTTGAAAAAAATTAAATAACCAAGTGTAGTAGGATAACTTTGTTCTGATACTATCTGGAGCCTGATTAACTTGATCTTTTAGTTTGGGATATTTAATAAGTCTCATATTTTATATTAGGATATGTATTACATCTGTTATTTTAGGGATCAGGTAACAGCCAGCACACAAAATTTACAATCTTACCACATATGCCAGTTCATTATTCAAACTATGTATCCCTCATCTTAGTGTTCAAGATCTTGAGTCCTAATAAATTAAATAATATTATCTTCAACTTGAACTTTTTTCTCATTTATCCTGGGCAGATATATTTAAATAATGCATTTGCTCTGGATTCAGCATGGATACATCCTGAGGAATCAAGAATCTTCCAGGGACATGAGAAACCTCTTTTGATGACAAATCAAGTAGCTATGGCTATATCTAGGCCAGCTACTGCCTCAAGGCCTCTTCCCACAGTGGTGTTAACACCTCAGCCTATACCAGGTTAGTAATAAATAAATAAATAATTATGTACATATTTTGTACTATTTATTTTTCCTATTGATGTTTTGCTTTAGGTGATAGCATCAGAACTACTTTTCTCAAGTAAAACTCACTCTTGGACTACAAACTTGAAAACCTAGGCCAGAATAAGAACATTTCACTGTTACTTAACTTTTTAACTTCCGCTTTTAATTTACAAAGAAAAAAAAATTAATTATTGAAAATCAGAGTTCAGATTCTTCAGAAACAGGCCAACTCACTCCACTATGAGGGGGCACAGCTATCATTCAAGAAGACTTGGCTTATCTGCATACAATCTAATGAGATTCCTAAGATAGTTGATGTATAATTTTAACATTAGTTGCCTAATTTTAGATTTTTGATGGGTCCATGTAGGCAGTTTTTAACATGAAGAGTAATTGATCCATCAGCTCATTAAAAATAAGTTATGCAAGACAATGTGCATGAAATAAATTTCATTAATCTGCATAACCCAGGTATGTTGCAGCTGCTAGCAGTATAATGTTGCATGTGGTAATTCTCTTTTATAAATGGGAAAGGCCAGAATATATACTGGTCTGAAGATGTATCTTTCCTTTGATTGGTACTTGCTGAACTGCCCTGAAATAATGTTTACCACATGAAAACACTAGTAAATAGACAACTAATTACATTTAAAGCACAAATATATATTCCAGAAGTGAAAACTTCTAAGGGCTTTCCTACTGAAGTCAAAGTTAATATTTTTTCAAATAATGGAAAGCAATAGCTGTCACAGATTTCTTTGTTTTGGTATATTTTTTATTTATAAATAGCATTGTGTGCATGTAATTTTCTTGTGTTTCTATCATCTATTTTCTATCAAATTTAACCAGGCATTACTATTTTGGTTAATGTAGGGTTAGAGGTGGGAGGTAGGTCTCTGTTTGTCAGGCTTATTCTCCTAACTGGCATTTAATATTATTCAACACATAGAACAATTCAAGTAATTTCTATAGTTCAATTATAATTTACAATAAGATACCTTTTATTCCTGCTATTGTTAATTATTGATCAAGTCTAGTGTTTTGTTCAGCTTTCTGTTATGAATTATAGTGACCATAAATAAGGATGCTGATAGGCAAAATAATTATGCTATTTATGCTTCTCCAAGTACATGGCATATGGAATATTTGAGTTGTATCCCCCAAAAGTATGCATTCTTCAAAGTATCCAGCTAATGGCTGGATGTCATGGTGATGAATACTTTCTAAAAGCCTGATGAAGGGCAGTTGGAATTAACTCATTTGTTCCTACATCTATTTGTTGTTTAACAGCTTTGTACTATTACCTGATTTTTCTGACTTTTGTCTGTATGCACCATCAGGTAGTAATATATAAAGGTGACCTAATTCCATAGTTCACACACAGAAAAAACTTGCAATGCATTCATATTGTATAATAAAAAATAAGAGGGTCAGCATGTGTTCCTTCTTCCAGGAGCAATGGGTGGGATTTTCAAAAGTACCCCCATTGTATCCTTATGTAGCTTATTTCCATTGGCAAGAATGAGGGAGGGTTGGCGGGGAGAGCACGTGCCCCCTCAGATTTCTGTACCAAAGGTGGGATGCAGCCTCAGGGCTTGAAGTCAGTGGGAATTTTTCCATTGACACCAGTGGGGTGACAATTTGACCCTTTGTGACTTTTACGTTTTAAATCCTCACATTATTTAATTCCATTCTACCACACTTTTGAAGCATGTTAGGATTCTATTGACCTTTGGCCTTGCTTTAGCAATAGTCTCAGCTTTTACAATCCACCAGTGAACTTTTCTCTAAATACCTTTATACATTCCCATATGCTGTTGCTTATGCAGGGTAAAGACACCCTGACATGTCCAGGCAGATTTTATATTTTCTTCCAATTTTCTACCTACAGCTCAATATTGTAATCCTAATAAAATTTTGCTTCCTAACCATGTTGATTTGGTAAGGAAGAGTCCTTCACCTTCTTTTCTTTTCCTACTGACTCTCTGTTGATAATTACTTGTGAAGAGAAACAGTGGGAAGCCCAGGACATCCGCATACATGCATTACAAGGAGACCACACAAAGAACTCTGCAACCCAGAGCAAGTGAAAATTGGAGAGGACCTTGCCCAGGAGAAGAGAATGAAGCAGAGTTTATGGTTATGAGAGAAGATTAAAGGAGTTTGGATAAATTCATGAAGGAGATAGGATGACAGAAAGGGGAGTTTGGGGTTTTCAGATAGGAGCCATGATGTGTAGTGTTGTGTTTGCAGCCTCCGGTATTTTGGTGGAGATGGTTTGTTTTTCACATGTTTCTGGGCTTTTCCGGTTGCAACATGATGCCAAGAAGGAATCTTTTCCCCTTCTGTCTCCTACTGTTGCTACAGATGTCAGACTTTTCTTTTTCCTGCCTTTCTCAAAAAACATTGGTTGTAGGATGCAGCCAAGGCTGAGGATTTTGACTGGGGTGAACCAATGCTTCTTTGAGGTTGAAAAACCTGGAGATGCCTGTTTAGAGTATCCTGCTCACCTGTTCAGGGACATAGATTCATAGATTGAAAGGGACTGGAAGGGACCTCACAAGATCATTCGTGCAGCCCCCCTGCACTAGGCAGAAAAGACATCTGGGAGTCAGATGACCCCAGTGAGGTGACTGTCCAGTCTCATCTTGAAGATTCCCAGGGTAGGTGATTGCACCACCTCTGGAGGGAGTTTATTCCACAGTCTGGACACCCTGACTGTGAAGAAGTTTTTCCTAGAGTTAAGTCTGAAACGGTCTTCCAGGAGTTTGTGGCCATTGCTCCTGTTTTCGCCCAAGGATGCCCTGGTGAACAGTTGTTCACTGAGCCCTTGATGTATTCCCCTGATGTAGAGGTAAGCTGCTACCAAGTCCCTTCTAAGCCTTCTCTTTTTTAGGCTGAAGAAGCCCAAGTCCCTCAGCCTTTCCTCATATGGCTTGCCTCGCAAGTCTTTGATTATATGGGTGGTTCTTCTCTGGACTCTCTCAAGCATTCCCATGTCCTTGTTGAAGTGCAGCACCCAGAACTAGATACAGTACTTCAGCTGTGGTCTCCCCAGTCCTGAGTAAAGCGGAAGAATCATTCCCTTGGTTTTGCTTGAGATGCATCAGTTGATGCTAGAGTATTGTTTGCCCTGCTGGCTACAGCATCACACCAATAGCTCGTGTTCATACTATGGTCTATTATTACCCCCAGGTCTCTTTCAGTCATGGTGCTAGTCAGTTTGGCACCACTGAGCCTGTAAGTACATTGGGGATTGTTCATCCCTAGATGGAGCACTTTACACTTCTTAGTTTTGAACTTCATCTGGTTCCGATCCACCCAATTTGCCAGCCTGTCTAGGTCCACCTATATCTGCAGCCTGTTTTCAAGCTTGACTGTGCTCTCTCATAACTTGGTGTCATCCACGAACTTGGCCAGTGATCTCTTCACCCCCATATCCAAATCATTGATAAAGATGTTGAAAAGCAGTGGACCAAGCATGGACCCCTGAGGGGCACCACTGGCCACTTCTCACCAAGATGACACAGATCTATTCATTAGAACTTTCTGGGTTCTACCCCACCTAACTGTCAAGCAGTTAAGCCTGCAATCCTTCATTTTTCCCTTGAGAACATCATGGCATACCAGATCAAAGGCCTTTTTGAAGTCTAGGTATACAATGTCAACCTTCTGTCTCTTATCCAGGTGGTGAGTTACCTGGGCATAGAAGGAGATGAGGTTGGTAAGACAAGACCGGCCTGCAATGAATCCATGCTGGCTGTCCTTCAGAATCCTACCTCCTGCAAGCGTATTGCCCATAGGCTCCTTGAAGAATTTTTCCAGGATTTTCCCTGGTATAGAAATTAGGCTAATTGGCCTATAGTCGCCCAGGTCCTCTCTCCTCCCCTTCTTGAAGATGGGTACAACACTGGCCCTCTGCCAGTCTTCAGGGACCTTCCCCAAGTGCCACAAGTTTTGGAAGAGTTTCATCAGAGGTCCCATGATGACTTCAGCCAGCTCCTTCAGCGCTCTCGGATGAAGATCATTCGGCCCTGCTGACTTATAAATGTCTAACTTTTCTAATCAATCATGCACCAGCTCAACGTCAACAGTAGGAAGGCAGTCATTACCACCATGCCCATTTTGAACCTTATCTAGTATGATTTTCCCCTTAGTCCAGTGAAATACCAAAGCAAAGTAGTCATTCAGGAGTTCAGTTTTCTCCTGAGTGTTGTTAACCAGCTTTCCTGAGCTGTTAAGCAATGGCCCCATGCTTACAGAATCATAGAATCAATGAGTCGGAAGGGACCTAGACAGATCATCTAGTCCGACCCCCTGCCATGGGCAGGAAGGAGCACTGGGGGTGGCAGGGGTCATAAGACCCCAGCCAGGTGCCTATCCAGTCTCCTCTTGAAGATTTCCAGGGAAGGTGAGAGCACCACCTCTCTGGGAAGCCTATTCCAGGCTCTGGCCACCCTTACAGTGAAGTAGTTCTTCCTAATATCTAACCTA